TAAGCATGTGTTGACATTCTGAATATAAGAGATGCCACAAACACTGGGGCAGGAAACTGTTCACACTGGCTTGAGCAGAGAGACTTGTTCTGCTGAGAAGAGGAAAATGGGGAGAAAAATTGCTGGAGTCCTATTAGAGGAAATCCTGCTTAGCCCCAGGAACATTTAAGCATCACTGACCATTATCGAGCACAGAAGCTTCAGAACTGTATCTTCATTAAGCTCCCAATGATGTTTCCAAGGCTGCCCCACACATGCACGCGGCATTCCTACGGGTGCATCACCAAGGGCAGATCCACAGAGATCTAATTTACACGAAGCACCCATTGCCTTCTGATGGTGTGACCCTTTAAGAATCAAAACAGCAAGTTGTAAAACCTGTCCTGCTCTGTATGTTTTTGGGAAATAAATAAACCTTTCTATTTCAATATTTGGCATAGTGACAAGACCTAAGAGGAACTAGAGAGATAATTAATAAGGGCAGGAGGGGAAAGTGCAATTAAAAATGGCAAAGACTACTCTGTAAATAAGTGCTTCATACTGAGAAAGATTATTACTGCGCTCTCCAGCCTCAGACTGAAATCAAATCACTCTGAATGGATAATTTGAACTTTTCAGTGGGGAGTGGTGGGGGGAGCCTGATCAAGGTTCCTAGAATCTAAATTACAGGAAAAGCAAAATTCGGTCCTGGTTGGTATTATTTTCTATCTGATCCATTTTTAGTCCTATCCCTCAGTTTCCCTAACTAGAAGTTCGATTAAGAGTGCCTCAAGAATATTGTTTACGGGGAACTTCAAAACAAAACGACTACACACATACACCCCAAAAGAAGCCTCCTAGGAAACAAGCAAGGCAAATTCTCTTGACCTGAATAAAGAAAGGCCTTTGTCAGAAATAAAATCTCAATGGAGCAAATAAAGAAGACCAAGTGGCACTGAGCCTAGAGATCCCAGAGCCCCCAGCCCAGTTCACAGAACACACTTAAAGTGCTGAGGTTCCCTAGCAAAAAAGCAGTCCATGCACTTGTCACTCATAGGAGGACCTTGGGCCTCTCCCTTTTTCAATGGAATGATTCAAAACTGAATCATTTCCTGCAATTTAATTTCATCACTGAATGCAAAATATAGAAAGATTCGGTCACAGGAACATGGATCTGCCTCCAGAAAGCAATCGTGTTCCCTGTGCTGCCGTAAGCGAAGGTTTAATTGGACACAGTAGGTTTTGTTATTGTTACAGCATGAAAATAGGTTCTTTTAAAAATGGCCAAAGACTACTGACAGCTCACTGGCATAATGGTCAGAGAAGAGTTGAATTCCAATTATTTCTTGAGATAGAATTGTTTAGATTCATTTCAGATAGTTGTGAATAGCATCATTATTTTATACTCACCATCACCATCATCACAGCCAACATCGTCACTCCATCCTATTTTTCTGGTAATGTTCGAGAGGTATAATAACCAGAGAAGAATACTGCATACCACCTAAGATCTCTTTAAGTTAAGGAGGTACAGTGACATAAAATAGGATGAATAGCTCTTGAACCATTCCTGCTCAAAATACAAGGCTCCCCTATGTTTAAACCCAAAGTCAGCAAATTATGCCCTTAGTCAAATCTAGTTCTTGACTGTGTTTGTAAATAAAGCTTTATTGGAACACAGTTGCACTCATGCATTTGTGTATTATCGACATAATATCTGCCTTTCTATAAAACAAGATAATTCAATAAATCTCACAGATGGGGATCACATGTGGCTTGCAAAGTTTAAAATGTTATTCTCTGATTCTTAATTTTTTCAATCCCTTCTTTAAATTAACATCATAGTTAGCACTATTGTTCCTTTCATTTGCAGAAAACATGGAGCATATGTGTCAACACATAGCATTCAATAGCACCCTCATTGTACATAAAGGAGATAATCATAGTGTCCAGAGACACCTCCAGGCAGTTTCTGTTATGGAAGATTCAGAATTGGCAGTGTGTGCAATCCCATCCTAATAGACTGACTTTGTCCCTGCACACTTGTTTTTCTTTTCTTTCTTTCTTTTCCCAAACTTTAATAATTTTCACATGGCCCCTGAATGATACACAATTATATACCCCTCTTTCAATTATTCCTGGCCTTTTTTTCCCAATAGTGGTGATAGGCAAAATGATTCAAATGGGACTTTGTACAGAGTAAGGCTATCACCTTATGTGCAGATTGCAAGCCAGGTCCTCATTGTCAGCAAGAATGAGAGGCTCTGTGCTTGACCCATGGCCTGGGATAGTTCATTAGGCAGTGACAGCGAGCATTGTAAAGCCTGGAAATTGTTTATTAAAACACAAAATATTTATAATTGTGAAATGTATTTATAACTGCACACGTTCTCATCCATCTGGAGTGCAAAGAAATAAATGGATAAATATCAAAGTTGAAAATTAACTTGATGGGACTCTTGGACACTGAAATAGCAGATAATATATTGGAAAGAATTAAGCCTAGACCCATAGCTGAGTTCAATTCTGGAAATCCATAATCTATGTTTGGTCGGGCAAATTTCTACACTCTTAAGCCTCAGCTACAAAATGGAAATAGTAATAGATACTTTAAAAGATTGTTTTAGGAATTAAGTGAGGTAACTCCTGAGTAGTACCTGGCACAGTACAGTATATGCTCAAAATATGATGATGGTAATGATCATTAGTGTGCTGTGTTTGGATTCATTCAAGAAGGCAAGAGAGTTCCTTCTTAAAAAAGACGAATTTAAAAGACCTTAATAAACAGGCATAATATTTCCCAAATTATCTAATTTTGCATTCAATCTACTTTTAATATTATGCTTTTAAAATACTGTAGCTTATATTTTTACGTCACTTCTCTCACCAAAGCTTTTTCAAATAAACTGGACACCTCTGTGAGTCAAGTATGACAAAAGGGCCAGGAATTTTCCCATTTCACAGAAAGCCAAGTTAGACCTAAGGTCTTGCAGTTACAAAAGTGAATCTTGGGTTCTAAGACCTCATTGTTCTTAGCACTTAGGGTTACCCTAAATTTTACAGCATTTTAGAAGTCAACCCAGGGAAGGAAAAGATATCAATCAGCAAGATGATAACATGAAAAGAATAAAAGAAAGGACAGAAGATTTGGAGTGAAAAGCAAGGTCCTCAGGAAAATAAGCATGTAACAGAAAGGTGATGCTTCAGAATTCAGCCAAATGCAATGTGTCTTTAAAAGGACCCATCTCTACACTTCTATATTGCTTACTATCTGAAGCTAAGCCAGAGGGATGTACATAGTGAGATCTTTGTCTCATTTCAGGAAGGATACAGGATAAAGATTTTGTGCCAGTAATCTTCCTTGGATTAATGGTTTCTCTTTTATCTGCAGTATTTCTGTTCAGATGTCTTTTCTCTGAATGAGTCAGAGGAATGCAAATGCTGAGTGCAGTCCGCCTGAAATATTTAAATCTAGTTTTGCAATGTTTTGCAGGTTTGGAGGGGAAAAATTAGACACACATACACGCACGCACGCACACACACACACACACACACACACACACACAATGAAGAAATGGCAGAGAGCCACAGATATATCATCCAGCAATACAAAAAAGCAGTATTTCAATTTGACAACGAACTCATTTTTCTTTTCCCATTTCTTTGTTTTTCCAGATCAACATTTAGATGCTTGGTGTGAATTGAAAGAATCTGCAACATTCTTTTGTGAGACCCAGAATCTCATCGAGAATGTATCTGACTACATGGGAAACCAGTTTTATTTTGATTTGCAAATGATGAACCTTCTTCATGCAATGAGCACCTTCCTCAGGAAAGCATTCTCTGCACCCTGCTAGAGAGAAGGTGAGACGAGTTGGGCAGTCGGCATGATTTGTCTTTCTTTTCCTGATTCCTCCTTTTAAGGATACATTCTGAACCTTTTATTCTCCTGTTCAGTCATAGACTTGCAGGCAGTGTCTCACTATTGTGGCTAAGAGGGCTTCCTCTAAAAGGAAACCTGAATGGCATTAATATTCAAATCCTCTAGCTCGGTCTGCAGTGGCCTGATGGAGCTTGCACAGAGCTCCTGTGCTGCAAGGGAACAAATCTTGGGAAATACAGCTGAGTAAATTGGGATTTAGCTTCCGTCCCCATGTGCAGTACTTAACATGAAACCCTTATAATGAAAGGTCTCTTCCAAAGGCTTTTATTGCTGCAAGAAAGAGTTCCTACAATGTGAACCCAAGGACAGAAGGAGGCTTTCTTATTTTCCTTTCCACATCATGTGAAAGAATAATCTCATGCCTTCAGGACAAAAGCTTCTTTAAACAACAAAGAGAAATGCTTTCAATGTCCATGAACATCTCCCAACATCAATGAGATTGTTGTTCACAGATGAAAAAGGGGAAAAAAATGTTGAGCATGAACAATTGGTCAATACGACATTACCCTCAAAAACCAGAAAGCCAGAATTTGAAATGTGAAGCATCTCTCACTCCTATTAAATTAGGATTGATGAGTTCTCGGGGATGTTCAACATCCTTTGACTTTGTTTAAGTAATTTATAACCCTTCTTCCTGCTACGGCTTCTGAATTTTTCCAAGCACACACCTAAATTAAAGCTGGTGAAAGCTTAGCACAGGAGCATAAAATAATACTTCTTTTTCCAAAAGACTTTTCACAAACCAGTCCTAGGAAATCTGTTTAGCCTTTACTAATACCTAGAATGGTCCAGTACTGTACTGGATGGAAACTGAGGCACAGAGATAAGGAAGACACCATCCTTGCTCTCAGAAAGCTAATGTCTAGCATAGGGGAGAATTAAAAATATCTATAATACAATATAGCGAATGCAAACAAAGAGATCATTGCAAAGGACAAACCACCCAGGAGCTCCAATATCAATAAAAAATAGCCATTTGAGTTGAGCCTTAAACAGATTAACCATTGTAGAAACAGGAAGAAAAAAGAAAAGAAAAGAAAAAGAAAGAAGACCTAAGTTGAAAAATCTCTAGACAATAAAATAAATATACTTTAAAATACAGCTACCTCTAGGAACTTTTGTGTTCCGATGCATTGGCTTTGCCGGATCATATTTGTTGGATTTCTATTATCCATGCTCTCTACTGATCAAGAATTATTTTCTGTCATGCTGGGGCATACGTCAGAGAATTAAACATAAGAAAGCTTAAACTTCAGTCTCTCTGTGTGAGATTTTAATGGTCCTGTCCTCTGCCTGGCAGTCATTTCTCCAACTCATTTCCTTTCCAGAAAAACACCCGAAGAATAACATTCTCCATGTTTTTGGAAGCTGCAGTCATGAAATACAGGTCCTTCTTGGATAGACTCCATTCAGTGTGTAGTCATCTAAATGAGAAAGCAGAAACACAGGAGTGAACCCAGGATGCAGAGGTGAAGGTTTATCTGGTGGAGAGTACAAACAAGACTGAGAAACAACTACATTGACATTTTCTTGGAAGGACTCTGTCACCCTCTGTGCACTCTTTAGGACTGTAAAATCCCAATCTGAGTGTCACAAGTTACCTGCTGGGTGCTCCTAGGGAATTAAAATGTGGAGCACCAAAATACCTTTGCTCTTTCATACCAGAATTTAAGCAATCATCTGCACTACAAAGAAAGAGCTTTCTCCTATCTACCAACACATTCCAGTCCTCCAAATTCATGTTGTTCACATGTTACCGGGAAGGACTTTAGGCTGCTCATTTAAATGAGATGGAAACTCATTTACTCATATTGAAGTTCTGCCACCACGCAGTGTAAAAAATGATTTGAGTCCTTTCAGGCATCAGATAAGATAATTCTAGCAAAGTTGGTGCTGACAGCATTAAAAAACAATGATGGAGGAGCCTGCCCTTGTTATTGTCACTTTACTTGTCATTATGTGTAACAAAATGCATTTTCTTCTTCAGCATACTTATCTTTCAAATTTGTAACATACTAACAGGGACCATGTCACTTATGAGTGGTTTTCTTTAAAAGAAAAAAAAAGAAAAAGAAAAGGCTGCATGTGTATAAACATGGTGATGGGGAGAAAGAAAGAGAACAGGAAGAGAAAAGAGAATGGAAAGGAAAGGAAAGAACAAAGAAAGGGAGGGAGAAGGAGAAAGACAAACAAGCAGCAGGATCAGAGAAAGAACATTATTTTGGATGATTAGTAGTTATTTTGGATTCCTCCTGAATGTCAAGCTACATGCATTAGTAATCTCATGAAAAGACTAGTTATTGTACCAGATCAAGAAACCTGCAGTGTCTCCAAGATCCACTCAGAGTTCTCAGGCAAAATAGCCCAGAATTTCTTGTTAAAAGCTTAAGGGCTCAATTTATGCTAAGTATTCAAGGAAATGTCTCATCCGAACAGGATATCATTTTTCATATTAAAGAAGCAAACTGATCTTGGAGCATAAATGTTATTATTCATAGTCACAAAGGGAAGTGACATTTTCTTTCTCTTTCTTCATAGGGATGGAGGGAGGATCTCCCTTCTTTGAAGCCAGAAGAGGACTAAGAAATTCTGTCACTACACCTGAAGGCAGTTTTTTCTCAACCCCAATGGATGAATCCACAAACCTCCTTCAAGGCACTGATTGCTTTGATAGGTCAGTGGACAGGATGTGCATGTTGCTTTTGAACATATGTTTGGGGGAAGAATCAAAGTTAATTTCAGCGTTTGAAAAGCTAGGAGATTCCATTAGTGATTGTGACTTCACTTAAAAGTGATAAGGCTGCTGGATATGGGTTCTCAGAACTGAATGTCCAAATGGGAATTTATGATGTAGAACTTCAGTTTTATCAACTATTGGTGTCAACATACATACAAAAAAGAAAATTTTCTCCTAGCAGAAATTTTGAAGTTAACCCAGTGAAGCAGTTATGCTTTGTATCTTACTCCCATATAGTCTCTTCCTCTTGAAAACATGTTTCATAGGAGAACAGACAGGACACTGGGATAACCATGTCTAATTTTTATATTGACATATCAGAAAAAAAGGCATATTACATCAACCCATATTAGTTCTTCTGCTAATTATCACAGCAAAATCCCAGAAGCAGAGGCAACAAAATGAGATGATAGCCCCTTTCTCTGAATTGTCCATATAACATCTCTGTCAAGTAAATAAAGATCTCTCACATTTATAGAGAACCAGAACAGAAATTTTTAAGCAGATATGTCCATTAACACTTAATGGTTATAGTCACATTCTACATGCACTAAATTCATAAAGCCATATACTCTTCCTATGTCTAAAGAAAAAATAATATGTGTTACTAACACCTGTCATTGTGGAGTGCACTATGTCTATTACAAAACATCATTGAGGACTGAGGATGTAGTTCAATGGCAGAAAACATGTTTAGCATGCACAGCGGTAGGTTTAGTCCTTAGCACTAAAAATCAAAAAGCAATTATTTGATATTTTCCACCTATAAAACTAGATGACTATCACTTAATGATATATGATTTTTAAATAATTTTTATTTTAATATAATACAAGTAGATGTCAGTATAGAAAGTATAAAAATTTCTTATGTCTGTGAAAAAACAAAAGAAAATTTCAAAACAAAATTTGCTGAGTAACAATGGTTAATATACTGTGTATCATGATCTTAAAAGAATATCCAAAATGCTAGTCAGAGTACAAGTTATAGACCAAAAAAAATCTTACAAAGAAAAGAACAAAGCAACAAAATGTCATTTTCAATGAGCAAAAGAAACTAGCAATATAAATTAAATGAATTATTTTGTAAGACAAAATTTATATTACTCAGAATATATAGAGTTAACTGGATCCACCGATTTCATTAAAAAGAGTCAGGATTCACGACAGGGTTATAGCATTTCAGGCAGAGTAATAATATTCCCCTCTGTTTCATGTCCAGGAAAAGGAAAACAATGTTACTTAGGGTGACACAGGAGTCTTTGGTTTTCTTTGGCCATAATTTCTTCAGCAGCTATTGTTTGCTTTGTGTTCAAACACAAGTTTCTATGATCAGTGAAAGAAAACACAAAGACACAGAGTAATGATATGAAATAAAGCTGAATTTTGCCTACTGTCTCTACTATTGTACTGATTTCCTCTTTTAGTTCTTATAGGTATCACATGAGGTAGCTGTTATGGTCTGTGTTTAGTTGGGCCCCCCCCCCAAAGCCTCATGCAGTCATGGGGAGGGGATTTCTAGAGTTTGTGATTAACTCATGGTCTACTGGGATTACGGGTGATCCAAGGCTGGGTTATGGATTTGATTACTTCTGGGTTTATGGGTGTGAGTGCTACACCCAGCCTGGGGCAGATAGCCTGAATGTAACAGAAGAGAGACAGAGAGACAGCCTTCCTCTTTGTTGCCATTGTTGCCACTACTCCTCCATTTGCTCTCTTGCTGTTTGCTGCCTCCATGGAAGGTTGCCCTCTGTCATGTGCCATGCTGCCTTGGAGCCAGCTGAGTATGGACTGAAACCGCCATTAACTGTGAGCTAAATAAACCTTTCCTTCCTTCATTTTGAGTGTTTAGTATCTGTCCCAGCACAAGAGAAGAATAACTGAGACAATAGCTACTCATTCTTACACCCAATTAACCTGGAATGAAACTCAAACTCTAAGACTCGCCCACAGTGTCTTATTGGTACAACTCAGAACAAACTGAAACTGTCCTATCTGATTCCAAAGAACTGTGACCCACAAGATTGCATAGAAACACTTTTCAAAACTTTTCCAGCAGTTGGGGTTCTTCAAATGTCCAATTTATTTTTTTTTTTTACTCAAAATGTATTTTACTTTTGCATTCCTCAAAATATGCTTTAAAACTACAATGAAAATCTTAAGAGGTACATTCAAGTTGTCTATATGTCCTGTTAACTCTTTAGAGATTACGAGAATACTAACTTGTTTGTTCGCTGACTAATTAAGGTACTACTTTTGTCAATGCCAGACATTGCATTTTGCATAGGATTTGTGTAGTTTTGAAAAAAGAGTTTTAGAAACCGCCTTAGGACACACATTCTCAATGGGGACAATGTGATTCTGAAGTGGGTGAAATGTGAGTATTTCATCATTTATACAGTCACAGTGTGTAATCAAGTGTCCAGGTGCTTCTGTGGTTTTAAAACTTCATGAAAGGAAGGTTAGAAGAAAGATATGTTACAGGGCTTTATCCACCGTTCTTTTCTACCACATTGCTTTGGTCTTGGAAGCAGCCAGCCATGCAAGAGCCCTCTGATACTGAGTCAAGTAAATTTCTCCACCTTTAAGTTACAGGAATAAGGTACTTTGTCCCAGAGATTTAAAAAAATAATAAAAATAAAGATTTAGCTGGTACTTCAAGTTGTATATGCCATATTTACCTTTTGGAGCTTACCAGGAGATTAACTTACTTTCACATTAGCTAAGGTATTACTTTTATGCATTCCCAAAGGGGACAATGTAAATGTATAAACTTCCCAGTGGTTAGAGATCTCTAGGTCCTACCACCTTACAGGCTCAGCTAAAATCAAGGCATGTCTAGAGACAGTGTGAGTTCTTCCTGTTGCTGACCTAACCACACATCTTTCCTGTGTTTGTTTGTTTTCTTTCTTTAACCCTCGTGCAGTACTCCTAGCACAGTACCATCTGCTGAAGCAGGATGAACAGGTAGCTTTAAAATGATGATAGCTCTGGGAAATGATAATCACTGGGTCTTAGAAAGCTGCACTGCAGTGTATAAATAAGATAAGTAAAAGTGCTGAGGACTGCATGTTTGCTTTAATAAAATGTGTTTTCCCTTTTTGTAGAGAATGCCTTTCTCAAATGCCTGGGGAGAGAAGCTGAACTATAGGACAGAAACAAACAGACAGTTCCAGAATCTGGCAATGAGGGTGGGATCAGAGGGGAGAGGAATGAAATATTACTTACTGAGACTCAGAAAGAAAAGGGTTGGACCAGAGCCTTTGTGTTGAATTGCTGAGGCAATAGAATGAGATCGGAACTTCTAGGTCTAATTCCAAAGCTCCCCTCGGTGGAGGCAACATGCTGTGGTGAAAAGAGAAAGAGGGTGAAATACGGCAGAGCTCTCTACCATGTGACCTTGGGAAACTCAGTCTTTCTCAATCTTGATTTTCTGATATGCAAAAAGGGAGTAATAACATGCAGGATATTATATGATTTAAGTTAAAGCATGTATGTAAAGCATCAACCACTAAACGTGCCTCTGCTGTTTGATAACTGAAAGAAATGATGGTACAGTGATGGGACGCAGACAGACAAGGTGATGATGGTGATAATGAGAACAATCCACAGGCCTTCTGTAGACAGTAACTACATACTCAATACCAAGCATACTCAGAAGCGTAACAGTTACCACACTTTGTGAGATTCACCACTGGAAAATGTAATTCATCAAGCAAGAATTCCTTTTGCAAAGCGGTTCAGTGAGTAAGAACTAGGTTTAAAACTATTAGCAGCTTCTGAGTGTTTGCCAATTGAGCATCGTCCTCGGGCTTTCTGCAAACACAAAGCATTTTCACTGACATTTTTCTCACTTTATTCCCACGTTGGTAATGCGAGCTTGCCAGAGAAGGTACTAGATGCCCATTAAATAGATGGGGAAATGGGAGACTTTAAAAACTTAATTCATTTAATTACTAGTCCATTGTTGCTCAGATGGTTTGGCTATCTGCTCTCTATTCTAACAGTACACTATGCCAAATAACTAAAATTTCTACCTGAAAATAAATGTAGAACTCACACAAGTCTTGTGCAGGCATAGATGCAGCTTCTCAGCATCCTTAATAAGTGGTCATCCATCCTCCACAAGGCAATGAGGCAGGTGATATCTGAGGCAACAGGACATCCACCTTAGTCATCTTCCTGTGCCTTCCACTCCTGCCCAAAGAAAAATACCTGGAAAGACTCACAAAAGAATCTTTCCCCTTGGAAAATATTCAGGTGAGATGTCTATCATGAAATGCACAAATTCCATCATCTGATGATTGGGCAATTGCCAGGGAAACAAGACAAAGAAATCTCTAAAGAGCTTTGCTGCACCACAGTGAACTTAGTAAAGTGGACACTGACCTGTAGGATGGCAACTCAAAGTCAACTTGGACACAGGAATGCTGTATCTTCTTCTTCATAACAGTCTTATAAGGAAGATGTGGATAAGTGAACAGTGTCTTCAGCGAGGGAATCAGGAAGCACAAATCAGGCACCTTATGCAGAATTCCAAAAACTAGTTATTTGGGAAATAGGTCTTAAAGCACAATTTCCTTATTCCAGTGCCATCTTCTTTTCACTCTACCAAATATTACTGATTCTGTCCATTAAAAATCTATGGAAAACAATAGAACATCCAAATTTGCTTAAGAAAAAAAAAAAACAGTACACATTGAATTATTTGTGGCTTCATGGGGTATGCTGTTTTTTTATTGTTATTTTTCTGTTTGTTTATATACTAAATGATACAAAGAGTAAGTCTTTATTTAAAGTCTAGGTAGCTCCATCTCCAAGTGCCTCATAGCGACCACCTGACAGCTACAAGTGCTTCTCCATTGCAAAGACAGTTTCACGCCCCAGATCCTCACATGATCAACTTCCAGGGAAAAAAGTATGTGTTTCCATTACTAATGATGAGCTTCCCTCTGATTGGGCTAGCTGGAACCATGTGCTAATTTCTAAGCCAATTGTAATTATCCAAAAGAAGGATACTTTGATGAGCTAATCAGAGCCCACCACTGGATTCCAAGTGAAGTCTATCCCATTCAGTTCATATGAATGACTGGCAGAGAGGAACTTTTTCAATGGAGATCCAGGTGTTAATATTAAGAAGGAGAGGTTAATGAAACTGGACAGAGATCTCACCACAACATCCAGTTTTCTATTTTATCAGTAACTTTAATTCCCATTGTGTGCCTCTTGCGTTACCAGGATAGAGGTAAACTTTTACAAGGGAATACCCAGTGTTTTCCTGAGCAAAGTTACTTGTAGAATATTTGTACCCAATAGTAGAAATAGTTACTTTCTGAATCAGTCTGAGCTCACATAACATTATACTGCACTAGATTTCTTAAATAACATACATATATTTCTTATACATTGAAAGTTGGGAAGTGAAAGATCCAGTGTTGGTGCCATCTGCAGATCTACTGTGTGGTGAACTCTCCTGGCTTGCAGATAGGCAGCTTCTTCTTGTATCCTTATATAACTAACAGAAATGAAAAGAGAGACTGGGGAGATAGCTCAGCAGTCTAAGCAAGTGCCTGCCAAGTGGAAGGACCCAAGTTCAATCCCTGGTACTGCATGCTGCATGTCCCCAGAACCTGGACACACCATGCTGGCCACCAAAACTGGGCATGGTGGTATAGACCTGTAATCCCCAGTGAGGCAGGAGGAGTCTGAGCTGCAAAGTAAGACCCTGTACCAAATAAATCAATGCATTAATCAATCAATAAATCGATAAATAGTTTTTTGTTAAAAAGGAGGGAAGGGCCAGTGAGATAGCTCAGTGAACTAAGCACCTACATAGGTAAGCACAGGGACCGGGCTTCGATTCCTAGTGTCACATGCTGTACCAGCCCCACCTCTAGATGCACTGAGCTGGCCACAGAGACTGGGTATGGTGGCACACGCCTGTAATCCCAGTGTGGGGAGGCTGAAAGCAGGAGGATCACTATGAGTCCAAGATGTGTAGCAGTTGTACAAAATACATTTGAAAAAATAATAAAATAAAAAGAAGTAAAAAGAAAACTTTCTCATGATATATTATAAATGTACAGATAACATTAATGAGAGCTCTACCTTCATGGTCTAATTACTTCCCCAAGTCCCTATTTCCAACTATGATCATAGCAGGAGTTAGAATTTCAACTTATGTATTTTAGGGAATACAAATATTCAGTTCATAGTAAGTGCCATTATAGCCTATGTTCCTTCATCTACTCCCTTATTTTCCTCTTTAACTAATTAAATTGCTTTTTTGTTATCCTGATTCAGGTTTATTTGTACAAAGAGCACAGGAGGACACCAGCCCCTCACAGATGGTACCCCAGGGGTCACACCAGTCCTTCTGCTTTTACATCAGCAGATATGAGGCTTTTACTAAGGAGCCTTTATAGGGGCCTGGGCACCTTTGGGAGCCTGGGTTGGAGCAGAAGTTGGAGCTTGGGCCTTGGTTAGAGCAGAAGCTGGAGCCTGGGCCTTGGCTGGAGCCTGGGTCTTTGGCCAGCAAGACCTGAAACACTTGGCAATGCAGGCATGGATGTGCTTCCCAAGCTTGGAAAGACCCACATGGGCAATGTAAGCAAGTCAAGAAGGCCTGCAGTTAATCCTTTTCTTATGTCGGAGAGACCGTGGGAAAAAAGTAACCCTCTTCTACTGTTGGTAGGAATGTAGATTGCTACAATCACTATGGAATTCAGTGTGGAGAATCCTTAAAAACTTAGGACTGGAAATCCCATTCAAACCAGCTATCCCCTTACTGGGAATTTTCCCAGAGGAACTGAAAATGTCATATCATAGTGATATACGTGCACCTATGTTTATAGCAGCACAATTTGTGATAGCCAATTCTTGGAAGCAACCAAGATGCCTGTCACCTGAGGAATGGATGAAAAAGATATGTATTTTTATACAATGGAGTATTACTCAACTATAAAGAATGATAAACTCGAAGGCTTTACATCTAAGTGGATGCCACTTGAAGATATACTCATAAGTGAAATAAACAAGACCTACATGTGTAAATATCATATAGTCTCCCTAATGGAAGAACTCAAAAGAAGAAATTAAAATAGAAAGGTATAACACAATTAAAAGGAAAGTGAGAGTTTAAGGATTAAACAATGAAGATAGGGCAAGGAGAAAAGCTAGGAAACATGACAGGAGCAAAGCCAAACATTTATATACACAAGATGGGTAAGGCAATGATCCTGAGAATCTTCAGCAGGTATTTAAAACCAGAAGTTAATTGGTAGAATTCTCACCCTGACTAATAAATGATATATACTGATATCTATGAACTAAGCAACTGCATGAAGATAGCAATGTGTAATACTCGGGTCATGCTTGGAATGCCCGTCATTCTGATCTTCTAAGTATGTACTACTTGTCATGTCATACTAATTACTGCTCTATTGTCTCTCAAATAAATGTTTGTTTTTTTTTAAAAGGGGTAATAAAGTTTACTCCTTTGGAATGATCTTGGGCTTGACCTCCTTGGTCTTGATGAGAGCTTTGATAGCCTTGGCACATACATTCACGGCCTTGGCATTATTTGCTTGCACCTACTCGAAGCCCTTCTTGCTGTGCTTCTTGGCAAAACACATGTTCGTAAGGAGCTTGGGATCTACCCTCTTCAGAGATTTGTGTCTTCATGACTAAGGTTTGTGGATGCCATTTCTGTGCCATTTTTGGGACAGTTGTGTGTGGTGTGGTTCTTGGACTTGCCTGTAACTGCGCTGCAGACCACAGCTGCCAAGCCCCTGGAACTGGAAGAACAAATTGTTTTTCTATCCAGGCAGAATTTTGGTACAAGCCAAAGCAGAGTAGTGAGTTCCAGTTGTTTTGTATTTGCAACATAACTGGAATCATGTTTCATACATAGCAGGGGTAAGAGAGGTGCAACACTTAACACAGGCTCTGGAATCAGCATGCCTGATCTTGGATCATGAGTCACCCATTGCCAATTGTGCAACTTTAGTGCATTAGCTAACCTAGTATTCCAGATTCTGTACTTATTGTAAGGTATAATTATACTCACCTAATGATATTTTGAGACCAAGATAAGTTAATGCAAAGGTCGCCTAACTTTTTCTATAAAGGATCAGACAGTAAATATGTAAGGCATTGTGGGCAATGCAGCTCCTCTGGCAACTCTGCCACTATAATATGAAAGCTGACATAGACCATACTTAAATAAATGGATTCAACTGTATTCCAATAAAAGTATTTACAAAAACAAGCAGCAGGATAGATTTGCCACCACCAACTAAGAGATCAATGTAATATGTTATAAAGTCATAGAAAATAGCATTTAACTCTTTTTTATTTACCCCTGTCTCAGTGGTCTCCACAGTCATGTATTTTGACTATACTTGTTATAGACTTATTATTTCACATACATACACACGATTATAGATGTATTATTTCACATGCATACACATGTGATTTGCCTTGTGTTTTAGTACCACAAAAAACCAAGAAAGCTTTCACTCTTCTAATTAGATTATCATTCACATACATAAATGGCCCTGTTTATATGAATTAAAAAGTAAATACAAAGCAAAAATCTTGGTACATTGTATACAATCCAGTGCCAGGGTGATACATAGCAAGAAAAGAATAATAACTATAATTATTTGCTATAAATAATTCAGCCTGATGAATGAATGTTCACTTGTAGACTTTTATTCCCATCAAAATGACTTCCTGTAAGACATCCCTGAAGTTCCTTCTTGACAAATACGCTCCAGGTCCAGAAATCAAGACTCAAAGTTCATGGTGTTCAGTCATGCTGAGATGTCTCAGGAGACACAGAACAATGCTAATGCTTGAGCTAAAAGTTAATTCTACCCCCTGGGTTAATAATTAGGTAACACCATTTTGAAGCAAGGGGAAAATCAGTAGACTTGGAACTCAGAATGAATTCATGAAGAAAGAGGCAAAATAAAATATTGCAGAGGAAGACCATGACTGCCAAGAGCCCAGCCTCTTGAAGTGGTGTGCTGGGAAGGAAGGAAGGATGACAAGGAGGCCCATTCAGGAGCCTCAACTAAGAATCAGCAGTCTCCAGGCTCAGAATTAGGTCCTTGTCTATGAGGAGGCTTTTGAGTACATCAAAATGAATACCACTTTTGTTTATTGGTGAGATACAGACAGAAATGTTAAACTTAATAAATTACTAAGTGTCTCCCTTTAGTACTTCTTCTGGCAGCCTGACTCACACTTTTGTACCAAATTTCTAACACTTAATTCAGCATTTTTTCCCAAATCTACATAGTAAAAGAGAAATTTTATATTTCATTCATGCATTTCATAGGATGGCTACAAACCCCAATCAATATGCACTAATCAAGATGCACATTACCTAGAATACCACCCAAATCCATGAGGAAAAAAGTTGATAGTTCCTCAGCTCATTGACAGAAAAACATACTACCATGCTTTATGAAGAGGTACATAGTTGAGCCCATAAATGGTTCATGATTTTGTAGTAGAAAATAAATCATTCACTTTTACAAAGAATTTGACTTTTGCTGCAGTTTGAATCCAAAATATCTCCCAAAAGTCTCATGCAATTAGAAGTTAGCCCTGGTTGGAAGAGAGAGATCACTGGGGGTGGGAACTGGGAGGGCATGCTCCCTTCCCTGCTCCCCCTTGTCTTTCTGTTTCCTGACTGCCCTGACATAAGCAACGCTTCTCTCCCAGGTCCTTCTGTCATGTGATCTCAGCCATGGAGCTGTCCACCATGGACTAAACCTACTCTAACTGTAAGCCAAAGTAAACCACTCATTCTTTAAGTTAGAAGTGTCAGGTATTTTGTTCCAATCATGAGGAAGTAACTAACATGGGAAATTGGTACCCAGAAAGAGGTTATGGCTGTGACTGTACCTGACCATGTGGTTAAGAAGCCTGATACTGTTTTGCAAGAGGAGTTTAGAAAAGTTTGGAGATTCCTATAGGCTCTAAAATGTTGTGAACAATGCTTGATGTGTGATATTGATCAGAACTCAGAAGACTAGAATAGTCATAAGTATGTGGACACTAAAGACCAGGCTCAGGACATTTCAGCTGGAAATGGGGACACTATTACAAACTAGACTAGGGCCCATGAAAGTTTCATTCTGGCAAAGAATGTGTCTACATTTTACCTATGTCCTAAAACTTTGTATTGTGAACTTAAAAGTGGTTGACTACTTAATCTGACAGAAGAAATGCCAAGATAACCTAATGTTCAGACTGTGGCATGGATAATCCTGGATGCTTTTAGCTAAAGAACAGTTAAAATTAAGATCAGATGGTGCAATTGAATGTTTTAAAAAATGTGTATTTTCACCAGAAAAAAAAAGCAGCTACAAAGTCAGAACAAAAGAGAGAATGTTTGTTTAAAAGATTAAAATTATAAAGAAAACAAGTATCTTTCAAGATAATAGGAAAGATGCTTTGAATACATCTCAGAAATCAACAAGAGGAGGGGCCAGTGAGATA